ATATCGGGTCTATAGTTAACCGAGACGTTGAAATGACGGCTATTGCTTGCTGGGCTGTCACCTGAGCCGCAGAGCTGCGTGTGAAACGCTACAAAACAAGGCTACAGTCGGCTGCAACGCTTCTTCATTAGACGTCAGTACACCAACCATAAAGTGACAAGCGTTCGGTCCAGTCCAGTTTCATGGTTGACTTTGGAAAATATCTGACATCTTTATTAAGACGGAGAAAAATGAAGACAGTTTGTTTTGTGCTTCTTTTCGTATCTGGTAAGTAACGTTATAATGATGATGATACTTCACTAGGTGCATCGACAGTTTAGAATAGTCTTGAAAGTTAGTCATGTGTTTTTTAAAGACCATAATATTTTGAGGTTACATGAAAAGATAGATTGGTCTAATTTCAATCCAAAAAGTAAGACTGACAACAATCCCTTGGCTAAATAGTTCTTATGACACAGTCTTAACCAGCCGCGCCTCGTCTGTATGTGGGGCCTTGCCCCACGAAGAACATAGAGCTGTATATAAACTATATATTTATATAATTAAATCGTAAATTTTCAAAGCGCATCGCTTCGTCAAGCCGGTATCATGCTTTTTATAGACCTACGTATTTCGTCATGCGTAGCAGGCCAATAGCGGGGCAGAAGGCAGTGGCAAAGCGCACTCCAACGCGCTCCATTGACTTTCTATTGCGGGAAGCTGCCTCCTCATTTCTGATTTATAACAAAAAACAGAGCAATGCCTAAAAGCTGCTATGTGACAAGCTGTACAGTAAACAAGCTTTAAAAAAAAAAAAAAACGTTTTTATAAGCTGTCGACCCCCAAAAAACGAGCATTTAGGACAAATAGTGTTGTAGATGTCGGGGTATTTCACGTTGGGCCGTTCAGTTGGATCATTTCTCAAACAAAAGGAGCATTTAGGACAAATAGTTGTAGATGTCGGGGTATTTCTTTGGGCCTTTCAATTTCTCAAACAAAAGGAAGGTTAGGAAAAGGGACACTGACATAGACCAATAGAATTTAGTTTCTTAATATATCTCCTCCTCTCAGATTCACATAGGGTGGTGAAATAATCCTTTGACATGGTTAAAAATAATGAATGTTTCCTGTCGCCATTACGTTTCCCTCCAGTGGGCGCAGTTCTCAGAGTATAACGAACGGCGGTAAAGTTAGTTTGACGTTTGACATTCATTAGACATTCGGGTTTTTTGCCAATTAAACTCTTTGCAGCTTTTATGTTTTGAGCCCAAACTAACTCAGATAGACATAAATATATGCTCTTTATGTTGCACAAGGCTTAATTTCTAGGAATTAAAAAACAATAAATTAACCATTTAAATTAATTAAACAATTTAACTACGTGACATTAGAATATAAAACCAATACTAAAATGTTCGGGAAAACATACCTGTTATCGCACAAAGCTCCGTTTTTGGAATTACAATTTTATGTTTTTTATAATAATTTTACAACTTTTAATGTATGCAATAATATAAATCCATTAAACGACAACACCATTTGATCTAAAGGTATCAAACCAACTGTAAAATATTCAGAATATTATTCCCTATAATGCACAAGTCTTGGTTTTCCAGATTATGCCTTTACTGTTTTTATATACAGTACTGAATCCATATTTGTCATGTTTTATATACTGTACCCACTTAAATTAATTAAACTCTGACACAGTTTGAGATAAAGGTATCAAACCAACTATAAAAATATCTAAATATTATTCAATTTAATGCACAAGGCTTGTTTTTTCAG